TACACCACCGTGCGCGGAGCTTTTCGCGCTGTTCCCAAGCCAGCCCTCGGCTTCTCAGATCACTCCATGATACATCTGGTTCCTGCTTACAGACAGAGACTAAAGCTCTCGAAACCTGCAGTGAGGAGCTCCAAAGTGTGGTCTGATGAAGCTGTGGAAGAGCTGCGCGCATGCATGGAATCTACAGACTGGGACCTTTTCAGAGCTGCCACAGACAGCTTGGATGAATATACGGACACTGTGACGTCATACATCCACTTCTGTGAGGATAGCATCATTCCAACAAGGACCAGGGTCATCTATAACAACGACAAACCCTGGTTCACTGCTAAACTCCGGCAGCTCAGGAAAGCAAAGGAGTCTGCTTTCAGGGAGGGTGACCGCAGCGGCTACAAAGCAGCTAAATATCAGTTCAGGAAAGAACTGAAAGCAGCCAAGTCCCGGCACAGAGAACGACTACAGGAGCAGTTTGGTAACAACGATACTGCTTCTGTCTGGAGGGGCCTACGGGAGATCACCAACTACAAACCCAAAGCCCCCCCCTGTGCTGATGACCACAAGCTAGCTGACGATCTGAACTTATTTTTCAGTCGCTTTGATGCTGCCCCTGACACCTCTCCCTCCCCCACCCCCCACTACTCTAACGACCCACCCATCAGCCCTGCCCCCAGCCTAACAATAGCCGCTAAAGAGATTAAACAACTCTTCCTGAGGCTGCACCCCCGCAAAGCTCCTGGCCCGGACCACGTGTCTCCGGCCACTCTGAGACACTGCGCCAGTGAGCTTACTCCTGTGTTCACGGACATTTTCAACTCCTCTCTGCAGTCCTGCCATGTCCCGGCCTGCTTCAAATCCTCCATCATTGTCCCCGTCCCGAAGAAGCCCAGGATCACAGGACTCAATGACTACAGACCTGTAGCACTTACGTCTGTCGTCATGAAGTCATTTGAACGCCTGGTTCTCTCCCATCTCAAGTCCCTCACCTCCCCCCTCCTGGACCCCCTGCAGTTCGCCTACAGAGCCAACAGATCTGTAGACGACGCCATTAACCTGGCCCTCCACCACATCCTACAGCACCTGGACTCCCCGGGGACCTACGCCAGGGTCCTGTTCGTGGACTTCAGCTCTGCCTTCAACACAATCCTGCCATCCCTGCTCCAGGACAAGCTCTCCCAGCTCAACGTGCCCGATTCCACCTGCAGGTGGATCACTGACTTCCTGACGGACAGGAAGCAGCGAGTGCGTCTGGGGAAGAATGTCTCGGACTCTCGGATTATAAATACAGGAGCCCCACAGGGCTGTGTTCTTTCTCCCCTGCTCTTCTCCCTGTACACCAACCACTGCACCTCCAGCCACGACTCCGTGAAGCTGATCAAGTTCGCGGACGACACCACCCTCATTGGACTCATCTCCAACAACGATGAGTCCGCCTACAGGAGGGAGGTGGACCGGCTGGTGTCCTGGTGCAGTGGTAACAACCTGGAGCTGAACGCCCAGAAGACAGTGGAGATGATTGTGGACTTCAGGAAGAGCACTGTCCCCCCGCCCCCCCCCTCCGTGATGGACTCCCCCATCACCTCTGTGGAGTCCTTCCGTTTCCTGGGCACCACCATCACCCAGGACCTCAAGTGGGAGCCGACCATCAGCTCCCTCATCAAGAAGGCCCAGCAGAGGATGTACTTCCTGCGGCAGCTCAGGAAAGCCAAGCTGCCTGCACAGATGTTGGTGCAGTTCTACACGGCCATCATCGAGTCCATCCTCACCTCCTCCATCACCGTGTGGTTCGCTGGAGCCACAGTCAGGGACAAACAGAGACTACAGCGCATTGTGCGCTCTGCAGAGGAAGTGATCGGCCGCAGCCTTCCATCGCTGCAGGACCTGTACGTCGCCCGAGCTCGAGGCCGGGCTGGTCGTATCACAGCCGACCCCTCTCACCCTGCACATGGACTATTCCAACCACTCCCCTCAGGCAGGAGGCTGCGGTCCATCAGGACTAGAACCTCCCGCCACAAGAACAGTTTCTTCCCCTCTGCTGTTGGACTCTTGAACACTTCTTAACCTGTCCCCCCGCCCTTTATAAAGTCACTTTACTGCCCATCATACGTCACTTTACTTCACTGTACTGCTGTCACCTTACATTGTGTGCACCATGTGCACTTGTATATTGTAAATAGTAACTGTAACTCTATTTTAAATTTAAATTTATTCTTTAGAAGTGTTTTTTATTCTTATTTTTATTATCTCTTTTCGACTGTTGCACTGAGCCAAAGCAATTTCCAAGTCTGTGACCTCCCGTTACTTACGTTGGCAATAAAAATGATTCTGATTCTGATTCTGATTCTGATTAAACGCAGTAGAAGCAGCACGTGTGGAATGAATGGCATTTGTGTGTGTAACACATGCACACAAGTGTTCACACACAAATACATTAAGGGCATTCACACGGGCTCTCCCCTGTTTCATCCATATGCATCATACATGCTCTTAAGCACCTTTTTCATCTCTCCCTGTTACTAATTCACCGAGGGTGCAAATGTATGCAGGTTAGAAGACACACATTTCAGCCCTGTCCTGGTCCTTTCCAGACCGTGCATTTACCTCCTTAACTCCTGGTTTTGGATGAGGACAAAAGGAGCTTGGCTTAGTCAGTCTGCCGCTGGTTACAGAGCAGGTAACTTACATATTACAGATATGAGATTCTGTATAAAAAGACATTATTTCCAGTGATTTGAATTTTTTGTTGCACTCCTAACCAACCATGACTGCGTTTTTTTTTGATCCCCCGACAACCTTTTTCTGAAACTTTCCAACTATGGCCTGTGACGCATACAGTTTTAAATCATCAGCCCATTTCAATGGGGACAAATAATTTTGACACAAATCGAATTGTGGATTGGTCCATCGTTACAGCCCTATGTTCCAATTATCTCAACATCAACATATTCAATAATAGAGCCAGACTCTTTCAAGAATTCATTAATTCCTCGGTACAGAGTAAATGTATGTCTCTTCCACTTCTGCTGGGACAGTATCTCTCTTTTTACCTTTCCCTTCCCACTAAGTCCTATTCAGACTTGCACTGCCTACACCTCGCTGCTTTTCTCTCTCCCTTTGCCCAGTGCTGGGAAAGTGTCCCCATTTCTGCAGCGATCTTAGAGCGCCGGGATCCCAGAGGTTCAGGAAATAGCGGGTTCGTTTCAGCAGCAGATTTTTGTTTACGCTGCAGGTCGAGCGGCGCGATTAATTGGCAGTAATTTTGCGGATGTTGACAGGTTTGTTGGGATGTGAGAGGAGGCAGGAAGAAGATAGAAACAGCTTATTCCAGTTCATCAAAACATTCTCTCACATGTAAGTAAAACTAAAGCTATCATAGTTACCCTGACAATACAAGTGACGGCTCTTTCTTACTACGCAAAAGATAAAAGGCTTTCCAACAAGATAAGGACATCATGTTGTGGTCTCATTTGTTACCTTTACAAGACTTTTTTCTCACTGGGGCAAACAAACAGTATTATTAATGGGGGTTTCTATACCAGCCATAGAAAAAAAAACACTTGGGAGAGATAGCGCAACACAAATTGGGAACAAAGTGAACTAGACGCAGGTGTTCGGAGCAAATTCATGAACTCTGAAGAGGAGTTCTAACCATAGACTAAATATGAACGGATATACATTACCCGGCACAAGCCCCACTCATTGAATGAGTGCCTTCCAAAGTCCCTAGCTGCAAAACTAGCCGACAAAAAACACCCCGCTCAGTATTGGCAGCATCTGGAAAGTTAGGCCGAGAGCCAACTTTTGGACAATCTTGTAAAGCCCTTTTCTAGTGGAAAAAAAGTTGTTTTTGAATTCATTGGGGGATTCTGTTTCCGGGTACACCCCCACAGGCAAGCGCACATACTCATGGACCCTTTTGAGCAAGGACACACTGGTTCTAACCCAAGTTTAACTAATGCACAGTGCCTCCAACACTAGGACAGTTTTGCAAACGTGAAGAATAGAAGCTTCCACGGGCAATCGTCTGAATCTGGTACATAGAGTTTGAATGAGTCTGTAGAAAGCCCTAAATCCCTAAATCACAACAGTAGTTTTTGCGAGGGAATTTACAAAGCCATCGTTTCACCAGCACAGATCAGCGAATCAAACAGTTAAAACTCAAAGATAAAAAACACATAGCGCCATTGGTCCATTCTAGTGTCCTGGATCATCACCACTGGAGAAACAGCTTGCTGTGTCACTATTTGACCTTTTTGGACTGAGAACTGCTTCTCAGTCTCGGTCCTCACGGGGGGGTTTTATGTTTTATGTAAAAAAAAACATCATTCATGTGGAAAATAGTCAGTAGTAGTATATTTTATTCATCCGGCCATTATGAGCATTAGATCTTAGGTCCCATGTTTTCAAAATTCTCATACATTTTACAATTAGAAAAATGGCCTCCTACATGTTAATGCCAGATCCTGTCAGACCTCTGAAACTAGGCAGGGCCGGGCCTGGTTAGTACTGTGATGGGAGACCTCTGGGAAAGTGCCAAACTGGTTATGTCCTTAGGCAAGACACTCCACCCACATTGCCTAGAATGAGTCTGGTGTGTGTGTGTGTGTGAATGGCTTTTGTCAGTGTGCCCCAGGGCAGCTGTGGCAATAGTAGTAGATCATCACCACCGTGTATGGAGAGAAAGAATAATGACATGTGAAGCGTTTTTTGTATTGTTCAGCACTTTGAGTTACCTTGTGTATGTATAAACTTGCCTATATAAAACTGATGCATTATTATTATTATCATTAAGACTTTTACTGTCTCAACCCCTATGACATCTGTGACAATTTTTCCAAAGCAGCTGGCGAAAAGCGTAATAAATCCACAGTGTTTCTAGTAAAGTTCTCGCATTGCATAGACTTTTGTTTTGCTTCCTCACCGAGAAAAATAGGCTACATTGAAAAATAGCAACGAGTGAGCGCAGCAGATATGTTCAACTAGTTCACGGCGTTTGCTCATACCTGCGTTTCCAGAATAGTCTCCCACAGTCAGGGGGTATCCATCATCGTCAGGGTCCACGGAGAAGAGGCCCACTCCGAACGTGCCGTACTGTGCATACGCCGTGCTGTTCTCAAAGTCCTCCAGGTCGATCCGCAGCTCGTAATTCCCCTGGATGGACAACGCGTGGATCTGCTTCAGCCCTGGGAAGAGCACAGAGGAAAACAACCCATTACTTCATGCGGCAGACTTAATTTTAAAGCCATTGAGCTCTCAGCGATATAGACCGTATAGTGCTCCATTTACTGTCTGGATTCAAGCTAAAAGTGGATAATATTTTTCTTTTTAATATAGTGAAAAGTCTACGCTGGTGCTTCCAGGTTGAGTGGACTCTAAAGTAATTTTTTTTCTCCTTCGTCTATAGTTATTACGTTATGCATTGCTACCCTCAGAACACTTTGGACTCTTCCATCCGGACTTTACCTCGATAAGGGCTGTTGATTTGTAAGGAATTGGAGTCGTGGATGACATCCTTGACTGGTGCAAAAAGTGCAAGTGAACTGTGAAATTGAAACATAACCAAGTTGCATGAGTGACGCACATATGTATAAAAAAAAAAACCCCAGGCTGGAGAACCACCTGCTCAGACCAACGGATCAGAAGCATCTATTGAGGATTTTTTATTTTGTCGTTCCTTGAAAATAACATATTTTAGATTAAAAACTTCAAAGTCGGGCTCGGCTTCCTTTTTTTCCCGAAGTGGATTATTAAATTATCTTTTAGAGCAGCGGCAAGGTTTAACATCTGGGTCAACAAACATATGCTGCCACTTGATAAAGAGTTAAAGTAATTTTTCTGATTGAAGTTTTCCTTGATTTTAATTAATGGAACAAAATACAAAAAAAAAAAAGATCATAGTCCTAGATGCTATCCAGCTTTAAACGTACAAACAAAAATTAAGACAAAATTACAGGCAGAGATACATTCAAACATAAGGTCTTAAGGTTTGATTTACACTTCATTTATCCTAGAAGGGCAATTTGTCCTCTGCATTTGACCCATCCTGCAATGTCACCACGGTCGCCATAGTAACAGGGGACCCATCTCCAAATGTTGATGCTCTTGTGCCGTTGATGTATGTTCGGCTTTCCTAAATAAACCCACACCGCACTGCACCGCAATGCCTCCTCCTGTGATGTGTCATTACTTCATTAAATCCTCTTTTGATTGTGTCTTTTCACTTTGACACCAGGAGCAGAGGGGGCCGGGCGTTTCCGTGTCTCCTCTCCCTCTCTTCCCTCCCACAGTGTCAGAGTGTGATATTCCTCCCGGAGCAGGTCCCCCCTCTCCTGGGCTGATCAAAGCAGCTGGAGGAGCAGTGTGTCATTGCATTGAGCAGTGTGTAAGCCTCAAAAAACTCACCACTTCTTTCCTCGAACGCAGCACACGACAAACAAAAGTGAACATAACGGAAGGGGGATGCCATTTAAATGCATATTGTTCAACTTTTCTCTCTCTCCGTAGGCTGGGATATGTTTTAAGCAGGAAGCATCAAAGACAGTTTTTCAGAGTGTAAGGAAAATAATATCTGTGCTTGGTAATTCCACTTCAATGCATGGATTTAGCTGCGGGGGAAAAAAAAATGTTTATGAACTTAGAGCTTGTAATTTAAACCTCCTACCTGCAACCATCAATGCCAGCTGCTGTCACAAAACCAACTCCCTGCTCCACCTCAGACAGCCTGATTTGCATTCCACATGCGACTCGAGAGCACCTTGTCTCAAGTGTGAGGCTAATTTGATGACAAACACCTCTGAAAGAACTCATTATTATTCTGAGTGGGGATTGTGCACGTCCGGTGTGCTCCTCTTGGATTTAATTCCGCATGAATTTGGCAGGTTGATCCCAGTTCATCATTCCAACATGTACCAGGCAAAGAATATACCTTTTAGTCTAAGTAAGTAATCAGTATTTATATAGTGCATTTCATAGACCATGGGTGTCAAAGTCGAGGCCCGGGGGCCGGGGGCCAGATCTGGCCGGCGAATGAATTGTCTTGGCCCCCGAGATGAAATTTGATCAGTATAAGAACCGGCCCGCCCGGAGCCATAAGAAAATATTGGATTACTCATATAATGTTCAATCCTGGACCTTGAGTCTGTAATAAAGTTTGATATGATATGATATGTTCAGAAAATGTTTTTGAAGGAAGTTTGATTTTGCCTGTGTCACGGCCCCTCCCTGCCTGACAGGGGCGTTTCCCTCTCAGGCAGGGTGGATCCAGTGATTGGGGCTCCTGTGCATAAATGTGTGTGTGTCACTAACACTTGGTCTCTGCTCTGCTCCCTCCAGGTACTGGATCTTTGATTCTTTGTTTCGTCATTCGTTAAGATTAGCTTTGTTTTCACACTCAGACATATGCACACATCCACTGGTTTTCATTCACTGACTTGCACACACTGCACACATTCCACTGCTCACATACTCACACCTCATTCTTGTTGATTATTACCTTTTGTTCGTTGTTTTCATTATTTACAATAAATATGTAAATGACCCTACCTGTCTGTCTCTCATTTTGCCACAAGCATAGAGCCAGCTTGTGACACCTGTGAGCCTGTTGTGTTTCACTTAAAATGACTGACAGAGCCAAACAAAAATATTGGATAATGAATTGAATCATTAAATAAAATAGAGTACACTGTGTAAGGTCATGGTTCAATAGGTTATCTGCAATTATTTTAACATGTTTTGAAAAACACTGAATCAGTTTGGACCTCGGCTTGTAGAAAATACGTTTTTTTTGGCCCTGTTGTATTTGACTTTGACATCTCTGTCATACACCAAGATTGAGCAGCTGATTGACTTACACTGACCGTGACCATATGACCACTTTGTATAGAAACTTCTGAATGGCTATAGTCTTAAACTACTGAATTGTTTATTGTATTGAAAGTGGCTATAGTGTAATATACAGTCAAGAAAGGAGGAAATCTGTGGCTCTCTTGACAGTGAAAGAAGATCCTTTAATGAACAGGGATGAATGCGCTTCTCAAGGCCGAAACGTATTGCTCTTCCCTGCTCATTAAAGGATATTTATTCACTGTCAAGAGTGCTTTGGATTTCCTTCTTTTCCAAGTGTTACCAGTGCCTCTTTCACTGCTGATCCTGTTTAGTACCTGACAAAAATGTCCGACTGAAGACCTCATCTCTCTTGAACTTTTGATACAGTAATTAAATAAGTTAATTGTATATTATAATTGCCGGAAATATTGTGCACATATCAGTGGGGGCGGGTCCAGGCTCAAAAAAGTCCTGCTTGCTATCTCACTGCTTGCCTAGGGTGGTGTACCCGGAAAATGCATTATTTTGTATTATATAAACATTTATTTTATTTTTAACCAGCCTAGTTTAGCCGCTGTGGACTTTCGAATGCACTTTTTAAATGAATGGGGCTTGTGGCAGCTAACACATTTTTTCACATTTTCCTGCTGGAGGGGCCACTCACGGTCATTTTTTAAAAAGACGGCCGAGGGAAAAGTGATGACACATAAGTTTCATCCGTTATCATTCCGTTAATGCCACATATACATATTAAAACACTCAAATGGGGGAAGATTCAACATGTTTTAACTACATCCTATTCCTTTTGAGCATCATGTTCATTGTGTACTCCTTGTCAGTAATTGTATCACATTTGAAATTGACAAGCTCAGTGAATTGAATGTCTTGCTCCTGTTTTAACAGATGCTCAAATATATAAATAAATAAAAAGGTCACACAAAGTGCTTTAGGTTTTAGAGTATCTATATTTTCTATTCTCTCCACACACAGAGTGAAGACGCGAGACGCCAAACACTGTGGTGCGTGGAAGCCTCCGACTCTCTCCATCTGTTCAGGCCTATTGTACAGGTTTTTAGTTGTAGAGGATATCAAAACTCCTGGAGGAAACTTATGCAGACACAGGGAGAACATGCAAACGCCACACAGAAAGGCTCTGTTTAGAGGAGAGGGATAAGAGAAAGCACCCACACACAGATAGAGACCAGAGAGAGGGTACACAGACAGAGAGAGACCACAGAGAGAGGGTTCAAAGACAGATAGAGACCAGAGAGACCAGAAAGAGAAAGTCCAAAGACAGAGAGAGACCAGAGAGACGGCGTAGAGACAAAGAGAAACCAGAGAGAAACCAGAGAGAGACCCGAAAGTGACCGGTAAGAGACTAGAGAGGGTCCACAGACAGAGAGATACCTGAGAGACCAGAGAGAGGTTCCAGAGCGAAAGAGAAACCAGAGAGACCAGAGAGAGGGTCCACACAGAGAGATACCAGAGAGACCAGAGAGAGGGTCCACACAGAGAGATACCAGAAAGACCAGAGAGAGGGTCCAGAGACAAAGAGTAGCCGGAGAGAGACCAGAGAGAGACCTGTTAGAGACCAGAGAGAGAGGTCCACACAGAGAGAAACCAGAGAGAGACCAGAGAGAGGGTCCACACAGAGATAACAGAGAGACCAGAGAGAGGGTCCAGAGACAAAGAGTAGCCGGAGAGAGACCAGAGAGAGACCTGTTAGAGATCAGAGAGAGAGGTCCACACAGAGAGAAACCAGAGAGAGACCAGAGAGAGGGTCCACACAGAGATAACAGAGATACCAGAGAGAGGGTCCAGAGACAAAGAGAAGCCGGAGAGAGACCAGAGAGAGACCTGTTAGAGACCAGAGAGAGGGTCCACAGACAGAGAAACCAGATAGAGGGTCCAAGAGAAACCAGAGGTAGACCAGAGAGACCCCATTGAGAAGGACCATGGACAGCAGACGCATCAAGAACATTTTTCCCAAAAAATATAACTCAAGACTTATCAATCAAATCAAAATAACTTTATCGTCCGTGAAGAAGTTAATTTGCACACAGAGCGCTGGAAGGGACATCCATCCATAACAATCACTTAAAAACAGACGGTCCCCATTCCGTCTGTCGCCATCAGGTAAAAATATTCAACGTTTCACCCGTTTTTCCTTCTCTGTGATATTTATTGTGTTTTGTAAAAAAGTGCTTTATTCATAATTAGTTCATTAGCATATACATTTTCTCTTTGATGACTGTTCTCTCGCCTCCCAATGACGACGCGTGTCCCTTAACGTCACATTTGCCGAAAAATTTACTACTTTTTTCCAAACACACAATGTCTTGTAAACACCCCACATTGC